ACACACACACACACACACACACACACACACACACACACACACACACACACCTAGGGACAATTTGGAGAGACCAATTAACATGACAGTCATGTTTTTGGACCGTGGAAGGAAACCAGAGTACCCGGAGAAAACCCACGCATGCAGAAAGACCCAGAGCCAGGAATCAAAACCAGAACTTCTTCTATCAACTGTGCCACTGTGCATTTAATGTACATTTCAGCTATACTAACTTCAAATTCTCAATTAATAATGATGCTTGTCTTGACCTTGTTTGTGAACCTGTGGACAAGTACACTGTATTTGTTAGTTAAACAAGTTTAACTAACTGTCCTGAAATCATAAACCAAGCCTTTGCAAATTTTACACAAGTGGGGAGAAGGAAAAGACACTGCTGGAGATGGAGATTAACAAAGATAGCGACAAAGCTTATCCACTTTGTTGCTATGTTCATTGATTTTTTCCTGACTCTTCTACTGACTGGTCAAAACATCTAGTGATATATGTAGCAACTCTTTTTTGTTGTTGTTTTGGAGACTCTTAAATCAGCATTGCTCTGTCATGAGCAAGCAGCATAGGATGCTTAGATTCCCCCTTGCTCCTAAAAAGACCTACAGTCAGTCTAACARTTGTCTGTCCTGCAGAATTCCTTTGGCAGTAAWYAGAGCAGAGCAGGCCCATTCCAATTTTGTCAATATTACAAAGAAACATTTGCAAATGAGAATAATGCTACTATCAATACAGTCTACAACAYTTGCTATTCCAACTCATCTCCCCACTGCCCCGCTGCACCGTGTGGGGCAGTGGGACTGAAAGAGTTCGCCATATACCAGAATGAGTGCTGAGTGACATGGCTGTGGTATTATTTCATATTTTAATGTTAATGAATTTCACTGTAACTATTAGAAAAACCCAACTACCAACTTGAGGAGTCAAGTATTGAAGTGTCAAAATTTTCACAGAATCAGAAAATAATTATACAGTTTATAAGCGACAAAACTTATTTTGGGTTTAGTTACACTTTAAATATTATTTTTCAATTTCTTTGGCCAATAGTTAAATAATATTTAACTATTAGTAGTTAAAAATTAGTAATATGTAACTACTAATAATATAACTTTAACCTMTGAAATAATTAGAGAAAATGTGTAAGTCCATGTAAAGAAGATTAAAGTTTAGAATGATTAAAAGTCACCACACTAGTTTTCAGTTTTTCATTGTACACACTTTGGCTGTATTTCATGTTTTGTTTTTATAATCTTTTTCTTTTCTTGTCATTAAGGTTGCCGGAAATGTAGTAGACAAAAGGTGTTCCTCTTTGACTCAATCACCGGGCATAGGACAAATGCGGTAAGACTAAAATTGTTACTAATACACCCTCTCAAAGTACATTCCCACCCTAGTCAAAAATGCCATGATACACCAAGAGACATTGCCACATGTGGAGATGRGTAGATGGGGGGAGGGGTGATAATKGGGACTGGTCTGCAAAAATAAGCACATTTGTTTACTCMTAAACTTTTTGATCATATTTACTTACTCTCAAGACTCAATTGCTTTCTATTTTTTTATTATTATTATAAGGACAAAAAGGGGCATTACAATAAGTCAGAGCAAAACAATTTCACACAAAAAAGTCAGCATTGGCACAGTAACAGAAGCATAGAGATGGAACACCAAATCACATAATTAGGCATTTTATTATAAAAGCCATGATTCACCACTCATCCTTCAATACYGACTGAAGACTCCTTCCACGCTTAAGTATTTTAGAAACACTTTATGGACATGTTTTTGATGATTGCTTTAATTAATTGATTTCTCTTTTATTTTATATGCTGTCTAGGGAAAAGAGGAAGTAAAAATTCATTGGTTACCCTGCTCTGCTTGGTGAGAAGTGTTTTTTGCACCTATTAGAAATATAATCTTGCTATGTCATTGGGAAATATAATGGAAATGTAAAATTTGGAGATGTATATTACGTTATAATGTCATCAAGCTTTTTGTGGCCTTTTGTCACAAGAGCTTTTCCTTAGCTTTTCAGTCYAGCTGAGATGGCGCCCTACAAAGCATACWTCCCCCGATGCAATCCCTTAAGGCTAATGGCAGCTGCAATTAGCAAACRCCTGCTGGACCAGCTCTGCTGAGCTCATTTTGGGGATTGCTTCTCAGTCCAACGCTACTGAGAATGGCTGTAAACCACTTAATGAAGGTGTGATGACATCCTAAAGCCAGTGTCAGAAGAGGAGGTGCTTCTTAGAGAAACAGTGACCCATTTTGAAAATGGGTCTCCAGTAGACATTGGCTTAAACATGGCTACTCTTCCTGGGTTCTATACATTAAAKTGTGTAAATGACAAAGTGACATTTCTTTTAAGTCTTATTTGATATGTACAACATTTGTATAACAACTGAAGGTAACAGTCTTACTTTATTATATTATGAAAAGGCACTATGGTCATAGAAATTATTTAATACTGTTCTTTTTATAATTGATACAAGCTGGAAATTAAATCTGAAACTGTCACTTTCTTTGARTTAGGATTTTTGGTAGAATTTTTTCAAAAACTAAACCACTATGAGAGATTTTTCTTGTTTGTGTAGTGGTGAAATTACTGTGCAGTCAGTTTGTCATCGGACACTTAATAATTCAAGATAATATTGTTTGGGACACAACAAGATCCTGTTGTGTCCCAATAAGCTGTTRATTGGGGCAGGGGGTGATTTAGTCAGGGAAAAGTATTTGGCTACAGAAACTCTCTTTTAGAAAGAGAAAAATGTTTACCTTGCAGTACMTAAAAATTCCATAACTTGATTTTACTGTTCATCTTTTCTAGTGGGAAAATCTGGGAAGACACATGGGAACCTGCATGTCAGTTCTCACATGTTGCTGTCCCCCAAGAAGAGCCACTTCCTTCAGACAACAAACAAGCGGGATGATGTTGCTTTTTCTTTTTTATTTTTCTTTTTTTTTTGTATTACAAAGTTCTAATTTTCATTTTTTTCTATAACTGCAGTTTCACTTTAGTGAGAAGTTTTTTGTTTTATATTGTTTTTGTCATTCACTGAAATAAATGTTACTGTTGTAATGCAGTAGTAATAAGATCATCTTGGGCTGTTCATTGATACGTTTTTGTCATATTCTGTAAAAGYCTTAAGACATGCTGTGACTGGCTGAGTCACTGCATGAACTATTTACTTTGCCTGTATAGAGGCTTAAAATTTTGAACAGGACTGTTTGTACATAGTAAAAGTTGACAGTCTTAAATCCTTAAAACATGGCATTYTACACATTTGTTTTTGAGTGTTTTGAAGGTTGATATGGAATTCCAAATTCAAGTCCATAAAATTTTGTTAAAAAAAACATTAATTTCAATATAACTTCTTGGAAGTGTTTTATGCCAAGAAGCTATAATTTCACCATCTGCTTTTTTGTATCATGTATGTTGTCTATCAATATTGTATTTGTAAAATGCTTTAATAAAATTGCTTTCAAATGCAGTACATTTATTTTTGAACACAGCTGCTTTAAGTGCAGTTACTGATGAAGTGGACATTAAAATACCTTTTTAATGTCCAGATCAACTGAYCATATAACACATCACACATATATAAATTTAAATAAACCTATGTTGCAAATGTCATGCACATGTTGAAGAACACACATTAATTACTAAGCCTGTAATATATATATATATTAACCATTTATAAAGTCCTGCTCTGACCTGTAACTACCGAAAGAAGTCCTTTTTTATGTCCCGGATGTTGCTGGCTACATTTCCTTAAATGATCCAATGTTATCAGCGCCAGTTTAAATAAAGCTGTTTAGACAAAAGTACCTTGAGGGGAAAACTTTTTCAAACCTGATCTTCCATAATGAAATATACTGTAGTTAACCACACAAAAWWTTTTTGAAACATCACAGCTCCGCAAACTTCTATAAATTCTTAAACGGCTGCTCTGCGGGAATTTGAAATGGAATTCAGCCATTGTACGGCAGACAGAGTAAAAGAATAAAGGGACACATCGCGCTCCATCAACACATTGTACCTTACAAGACTATCTCGGGGGACAGGGCACAAATTATCTTTGACAACTTTATGTGAGCTGTGTGAAGCTGACACCCCACCCACGTCCAAAAATTAATCAAATAGTCAGAATGGTTAGTGCTCCGTTTGTGTAGGTTTGTGCTGTAAAAACTGTCGTTTGTGCAGCTTTAGTTTTCGAGATATTTGAAGTTAAAAATTGGCCCGATGACGTCACCATTCCGGAAGTTGCTGCGGGGACGATGAAATGTTCCCTCAAACTGAAGTTAAAATGTGCATTTGTTATAGTAAGAGTCATAAAGGGATTTATAAACTTTTTTTTTGCGTTTGCCCTTCTCAGTGCCTGTCAAGCTGGYCGCCGTTCGAAGTTGGTCAAGTTTGCCATATGTATTGTCTTGAAGGCATGAAGCCAGATTAACTCTACAACCGATTGATTTCCTCTACACTTGCASTAGTGTGTGAAGCTATGTTATGTGTTTCATAGATAGAGGATTAGTCACCAGTCTTTGTTGAAGAAGGAAAGAAATTAATAGATCGTGGGAAGTGCAGAGCGAAAACTAATCAAACTAATCACACATCAAATGGTAGTCTAAAAACATCACTATCAATCAATATAAAAAAATATCTGTAAGAGTATAATTTGTGATCTCTGGAGCAGGCGCTTTGGAGCATCTTGCGCAGTTGATGCGCTTCTGCGATCATTTTCTCCTGCTGTGGAGTGTGTGCGGCATCAGGTCTTATCGACTTCTGATTACTTCATTTTGTAAATGAACCTTTTTGAAATGTTACCCGAWCTCAAAAATATTCTTATTGTACAGAAAAAAAAAWGTTCAGCTTGGCGACTACAGCATTGAAATAAAATGCACTTAGTSACTCTGAATCATCTGATGTTTCAATGCCTTATGGTGTTCCGCAGGGCTCAATTTTGGGCCCTCTGCTTTTCTCTCTATTTACTGCCTCTGGGTTCTATCCTTAGGATACATGGGATGATTGTCAGATTTATTTGCCCATGAAGCAGAAGGATGTACATTCTATAAACATCTCTTTGCATGTCTAGGTGCTCTCACAACTGAAGCTGGTTAGGATGCTGCTGCACGACTTTTGACAGGAACTCGAAAAAGGGAGCATGTGACTCCTGTCCYGGCCTCACTTCATTGCCTGCCTCTATATTTTAGGATTCATTTAAAAATTCTAATGTTTGCTTCGAAATCACTGCATAATCTTCCCCCGGCTTACCTCTCAGAGCTTCTTCACCCCTAAATACACTATCGGTCACTCAGGTCAGCAGATCAGCTGCTCTTGGAGGTACCAATATCTAGGAGGAAGCTTAGAGGGGGCAGGGCTTCTCTGTCATGRGCCCAAAGTTATGGAACGACTTGCCTTTGCAGGTCAGAGAGGCCCCTTCACTGTCCACTTTTAAAGCTCGTCTTAAACCCATCTATTCTACTTGGCTTTCAAATCAAGCACAATCTAGTTTTAAATTGTACGTTCTTGTTTTTAAACTGTAAKTTTTTATTWTTTTTATTGTTATATTGTGTTTTAATGTACAGCACTTTGTATCAGCTGTGGTTGTTTTAAAATGTTTCATAAATAAAGTTGGTATGGTATGGAATGGTTAAAAGCCATCGTCTGACGCACTACAAAAAATGTATCTGCTCCAAATGAACATTTTAAACCTTCTGTCCCTTCTTCTTTTTTTTTTCTTTTTAAGATGGAAGATCAGAAAATAACTTATTGGAGTTTTATAATCAACACCTGGCATGAAGTGTGCTTTATCWTCTGAGTTGCACCGCAACACAAGAGGAACATCCAGCAGAACTGTATTGKCTCGCTTTTATGAGAACAATTATAATGGAGGCTCTCGCATCTGTTACAAATCAATTTATATTATCACATGGCCTTAGTTTTATACATTTTATTTGTATGTATGTCTTTAAAATAATCTATCTATGCAATTATAACTAATTTTAAAATGTTCTCAAAAAGTACATAAAAGCTGAAAAACAAATTTCTTAAAATCAGTTTTTTTTACAAACATTTTAATGTGCTCCATTACTGGCTTTTAATAAAGCCAGTAATAAATTAATTTATTCAGTAATAATAAATTCATCAGATATCCTACTTAGTAAAGTGTCCACAAAGGTAGATCCATTTTAGTTTATTAAATCATGCGTGACCATTTTTGTGTAAATGCATTTCATTAAAAATCAGAACCATGAGTACTAAATTATCACTGACAAGTACTAAAACTTTGTTACTCATTTTTCTTTGTAATACAGAAATWGTCAGAAAAATTGGAACAGCGCCGATGTCACCAAAGACAAGAAATCGTTAAACCACTATACACTTTGTTTTTTCATTGACTTCAGAAATAACACAGAGCTGCACATGTTCATAAAAAAAGAAAATAAAATTAGAACATCCAGAAATATGTTTCTGTTATGATGGTACAGAATCACTGGGACTGCTAAGTGTAGTCTTGTAGTCATTTTTTAAACTGCTAAACAGAAACACAAAAGTTATTACTCCATTTATAGTTAAAATAGGAAATAAAACAATTACATACAGAAAAATCACTTTTACTATTACATGTAAATACAGTAGACACTCAGAAACAAAAGTGAAAAAAAAAAGAATGACATGCCAGCCTATGTAATCACAGCTCTATTAAGCCTTTGTAGAAAATAAAAAGGCACAAACATATTAACTATTTATAAAGAAAAAGGATAAACAAAATGAAACAATACCAATTTGTAAACATGAAAGCATAACAACAAAGTGGATGGTATGTTTTGGTGATTTATAAGCAAACAAACCTTACATGTGACATATCAGTCAATCAGAAGGAGCTGAACACTGTCACACCAGTGCAGGTCTGTGTCAGCTGTACATGCAGAAATGATTACAAACTATTATCAGAAGCTTCTGAGTCACTATCAAAGTCATCATCAGAAGTATCGTCAAAGCTAACACTCTCTGCTCCAGACAAAGTCTGTAGATAATATTCTCTTGCCTGCAGCTTCATCTGTTTTAAGTGCTGCAGCTCTCTGAGGATGATGCTATGGAGACCTCTTAGACCTTCATCGGTTAGAGCACAGGACGAACCTTTAAAGTTGAACATAAGTAAAAATAACAATTAATAAATTTTTTTAGATGCTTTAACTATTAATATGTTTATACATCGCTTAAACACATACTTTTAAATTTGCCTCTCGATGACAGGTGGGAAAGGTCCTTCAGAGTGTCTTCTTGGGATAACAGAGATTTCCAATGATGGTCCATCTCTCCTACAAGGATCCTCTTTTCCTCTTCCAGTCTCTTTACTTTCATGAGGCCATCGAATGCCCTTCTTTTTGTGGAAAGACTGACAGAGTCTGAAATACATTCATGAAAAAGACAAATCAACTCAGTTTGAATTTGTAATTGAGTTTAGGTTTACACCTGGAGTATGTACTGACATTATCTGTCAGGTATGATGACAGTATAAAACATATTAGTGTATGTTTACATACCACTGTGTGATTGCTGCCATGGTAATGTTGTGTCGCCGGACAGGATGTCTTCCAAAGACAGTGCTTCTGTGCCTGCAACAGTCTTGTTGTATTCTTCCAAAGCCAATGCTAAAATGTTTTTCTCATGTTGTATTTTGCGACGAGCCTTGGCACGAGCTTTGTTTCCGTCTGTGTCTTTGTAAAGACGTTGAGATCGCCTTTTGATGCTTGCAGCCAGAACCTCGATTCTGCCTGCCAACRAGTCTGGATCRGTTGTTGTAGATGTTGCTGATGATGATAAATAACAGAGATGCAGTTACATATAAGTACTTTTGGAATGTACTCTAATTTTTAATCTGTAAAAGCTCACCTTCTGCCCACTTCTTAATATCATTGACCCAGTCATCAAGTTGCATGTCAGTCACTGAMAGCTCAGTTTTTAAGGACACCAGATTGTGATGCTGTTTTTGAAGAGCTTTTGTGGCCTGCATTGACAATTTCAAGTAAAAAAAAAAAAATCAGAGCACAGCAATTATAGGAATGAACAAAAATCAAAAATTTCACTACCTTCTGGTATCGATGAGTTAGTGAGGTGGCCAAGTTGTCATGTTTTTGCTGGTTCCAGCGCATGGCCATAAGGGTCAGCATGTCTGTCCGTCCTGTAAACAGAAAGAAGCCCACAATAGTAGAGTTTTCAGTTATCATAGTTACTTATAATTTCAGGAAACCAATCTTTGGTCTTCTCACCAGCTTTTGACATATGTTTTGTCGTAACAGCGATCCTTGAAAGAAATGCATTGCACTGTTCAACTTCTTCCCCTAGAGTCAAACCAGCACCCTCTTGATATGCTCCACTCCATTTAACCTAAATAAAAGCATGCAAACACAAAMAATTTCAACAGTCAAAGATGTTCATGCATTTATGCAAGGTTATTCAATGGCTATTCAGTGTTCCTTACCTCACATTTGAAGTCATGGGCTTTGGCATGGAACACTGAGAGAAATGGCTTCATTTGAAGCAGGTGTTGGAGCTCAGGACAGCTTTTAGATACTTTTTGAAGATATGGCCAGTACTTGCATGTTACATCCATGCAAAAAAATGTGATCTGTCTGTTGGCCAACCTTTGCTGCAGGTACAAGGGGTATGCAAATATCTCACCCCTAAACATGTTCAGGGCACAAAGTAGGACCCCATGTCTACACACTGCTAGCTCCAATCCCTCCTCGTCCAGCTTGCTGCTGGATCTSTGAGACATCTCCCTGGCTGCTGACCATTGCCCACCACAAACACCTCTTCCAGAAATCTAGAATGCATAAAATTAAATCAGACATGCTGTCATTACAGGGTATAAGGTTACTGTCATTATAAAGTTATAATCTGCAGTCTTACATGTTTGGTTGATTTGTGTATATAGTCCACAAATTTTACTACATCTTCATCCTTGGCTATGAAAAGGTCCTTAAATATAGCCTGTTCCTCCGATCTGGGAAAAAAAAAAGGAATAAAAACACTATATAGGTGTTATGGTCCACAGGTAGTGAACATCACTAACTTATACAAAGAATTGTTATATTGCACACATTATACAATACCCTGCTGCATTCTTGAAACGGTAATGCTTGCGGTTTCCATCCACTGAAAGTGCAAGCATATCTGGGGTACAAGCTTGACATTTGAAGGGATCCTTCCTTAACATTTTATCTAACTCATGTCTTACAGCTTCCCACTCGAAAAAACTTTTCAGGAAGCTGTCAGCCGAGATCTTTCCTGTCTGATTTAAGATGAGAGACAAATTTAAAAAAGAAAAATTACACAAGRACATAGGTGACCAAATCCAAGGCATCAAGGATAGGTGTTCTTCAAGTTCTAGGTGTGTCCTTTGCTAAAAACATCTCATTCAATCAATTTTGATGTTACCAGGACTTCCGATGATCTGAATGCTGAATGAATGAGGTGATATTGATTCAAGTGTATGTAACCAGTGACATCAAAATGTTGAAGAACATAACCACTCAAAAATGGAGTCAGACAGACCATCTGGGATATGTACGTTAAAGTACTCACACGGCCAAAGCGGACGGTTCGTTGGTCCAACATTTTTAGAAATGCTTGACTGGAGAGACCTGGTGATGCCATCTTCATTTCTTCAAATGTAAAAAACACATCAGTTGCATATAGAGTGGAAAAGTTAAGGGTAGCTGGCCAGTAATCAGTTAAATTTAGGTCATGCACTCCACATGTCCAACTAGCCTCACATCCCTCACAACCCAGCTCTGGCATGCTGAGATCATAACGACCTAAAACACCAAAAAAAATGTAAAAGTTGTAATACTTGGTTATTGTAATGTCAGGTTGRCATTGTGTCACAAACAATTTCTTATGGTCTGCAAAAAAATTACTAAATAATTACATTTTGCTAACATTGGTTTTTAATTATATTTTGGTTTTGATTCATGAAAAAAATGAAGTTATTCATTCCATTGATTGTGACCACAGTGACTGCCTTTCCTGGTTTGATCCTCAAACACTCTGATGGACAATCACAAATTCTAACTGGGATCTCCACAGGTACGAATCGTGCTAAAGAGATTGACATGTTTAAAATATGAATTCACATAAACTGCATATAAGATATGTAGAACCAGATGAACAAAAAAACAGAACATTCAAAATACAGTCAAAAGTTAACAGTAAGAAAAACACTCTGAAGAGTGTTTAAACAGTACAAATAAAAAGCTTACCATCATTGCAAAGAGTTGTATTTAAAACATAGGTAGTTGGAGGTAATGGCTGGAAGAACCCAGCTATGATGGTTTCTCTGTTGTGGAAGACATGTCTGGTGTGCATCATCACATCACATTTTTCACAAAAGAAGGGGTGTGGTAGGCAATCACGACACCGAAGTGCAGATGGATTTTTTCCACATTGTTGGCAAAAAGGGGCTGACACACTGTGCTGAGCTGCTATGGTGTTAACCAGGCGGGGTCTTTCTGCTTTCCAACTCTCTGAAAATATGCTTTTYCTTGTGCTCCAGTTAGTGGAAGTCAGAGGAACTTTTGGCACTAGTGGTTGACCTGCAGCATCATTCAGCGAGCTCTGGAGTTCTTGTAGAAAAGACTCTTTTAAAAAATAAAAACATTTTTTAGATGTTACAAAAGTATAGCACATAGAAGCTTATTATATAGAAAAAATAAAATAAGATGTACTACTGACATACCAACAGTCTCTGGAGCAAAGGCAGCCTCACACTGAATGTTAGAGGGATGAGAGGGACATCTGGTCTTCTCACTGTGGGACGCTATAATAATGAATTAAACAAATATAAAGGTAAGGAGTATAACTAACATCTTATTTAAATCCACATTTGGATGTCCAATTCCAATTTAATAACTGTCTTCAATTTCCATATCTCAMGATTCAAATTTGTAGTAGAAACTATTAACTAAAAATTAAGAAAGTAATTTAGATTGTCAGACAAATGGAGGAAAAACACATTTGTTTGTAACCTTTTGTAATAAGGTATGGTTAATGGATAGTGAACCATTTAAATTATGTTGCCTAAATTATCCAAATTTGTAGGCTATTTTTTGTAAATTATTTAAAGGATGTTGCAGACTGTTTAATAATATTTCTCTATTTTGATGAGCACTGGTGGTTTGTATTTTGTTTTGTTTAACGGTATTTGCACTTTGTTAAGGTTTTTTTTTGTGTGTGTTATGTACCTCATGGGCTGCCGTAGCTAAATGAGGGCAGGTCCAATAAAAGCTGGCAGAATCACTGTATCAATGAACATTCAATGACTTGAATGAACTGTCAAAAGTGCTTGGCACTATCAACACTTAGTCGTCCCCGGTGAAAGCAGAAAGTTTTCACGGTGACTAAAGTAATCAAGGTGACTATGGTGATCAAAATGATTGAGTTGACCGATGATCCACATCAAAGAAAATAAAAAAAATAACTTGAAAATTAATACAAGTGCTGGGGGGCTGCTATGACTAAATACATGTACATCAACTGCTGGAAAAGCACTCACTCTGTTGCAACCACATTGTACAGTGTGTCAAAACAGTAAAACTCCTCATTTTTGTTATATAACTAACCTGTKCTTTGTTATTGAGTAATTTCTAGTCAACATACTCTTACCGTATAATTAAAAACAATTTTGTGTTGGGGAAAGATATCAAGCCTTTAACAGATAAATGTTTTACATCCACTTCTCTGGATGTAAAAGCAAACAGAATTAATTACTTGTTAGAAGAAATATATTTTGCCAAAATATCAATTAGCATTAATTTACTAATATGTGTAAAAAAAATAGTCTACATGTGTCAGTGATCATGTTTTGAAAGAAGTACTTACTCTTAGGTAATTGATTTCTTGTTGATCTTGCCCTTTTATAAAGTTTGTTACCATCTTTATTCCTTTTTCTCCACCTTAYTGTTGGTTCAGGTATCTGCATAGGTACTTGATCTTCATCTTTCTTAAGCTCAACAAGCAAGTCATCAAGTTGTTGAAGCTCGAGATTTATATTTTGCTGTTGTATCTCAGCATCTAGGACCATTAATGGATCAGATATGTTTGAGACACTCATGGTGAAGGACAGACAGACAGACAGACAGACAGACAGACAGACAGACAGACAGACAGACAGACAGACAGACA